AAAGATCTTTCCCCATTATATAGCTTACAGATTTAGTGTTGTCCTCCTCTGCCCTCCACACTTTGTCACGAGTGTTGTGGTCTCATTCCCTCACATCTGGTCCCACCAGTACTTCTTTCCTCACTTCCCCCAGATAACCCAATATGATGCCTCAGGTCTCTGTTCACTTATGTCTATTCTTTATCACTCTACTCCCCAGTGATGTTGGTTTGCTGGGCAGGTCTTCTGCTTTGATATATCACATAAACAGGCACTAGAAAATCACTACCTTAGTTAGTAAACACAGGAGGCAGTGAGCTTATTAAAAATGAGGAACTCAGGAAAAGACGGTGAGAATGTTGGGACAATCAAAAGATATAACTAATGTTGATGAAGTGTATGTATATAAACTTTTGAAATTGTTGTTCTTGTATACTGACCCATAGCTGACCCTCTGGTGGATTTTTAGAGGCAGTTAAATACATGGGAGGAGATTGTCCATCCTTCTTCCATGGAGCAACTGGTCAATTCAAACTATGTGCCTTTGTGATTGCAGTGCAGTTTCTTGTATGTGTGTTGTTGTAATGTGCTGTTGAGTCGCTTGCAACTCAGAGTGACCCTATGTACAAGAGCCCTAAACCCTGCTCGATCTTGTGCCAACCTCACCCTCTCTGACATGCTCACTCGCACCACCCCCATCACAGAATCGATCCATCTCATCGAGGGTCTTCCTCTCCTTTGCCGCCCCTCCACTTTCCCAAACATAATGTCCCTCTCCCAGGACCAGTCCCTCCTTGCAACATGCCCAAAGTATGTCAGATAAAGCTTCAGAATCCTTGACTCCAAGGAGCATTATTTTACCTTCTCCAGGACAAACCCGGTTGTTCTTCTAGCAGTCCATGGTATATTCAACACTCTTCTCCAGCACCACAGCTCAAAGGCATCAATTCTCTTTCTATCATCCCTAGTCACTGTCCAACTTTCTGATTGCATAGCACATAATTGCGAAGACTATAGCCTGCATCAGGCACACTTTAGTCTCCAGCCTGACATCGTTGCTCTTTAGTACCCTTGAGAGGTCCCTCACAGCTGACTTTCCCAATGCAATTCGTCTCTTGATTTCCTGGCTGCTGTTACCAAGAGTGTAGACTGTGGAGCCAAGTAAACCAAAACTGCTAACTATCTCAATCTCTTCACCATCCATACGGATGCTGCCAATTGGCCCAGTGGTGAGAATCTTTGTTTTCTTCATGTTGAGCTTCAATTCGTATTGAAGGCTGTAGTCCTTGACCTTCTTCAGATCCTCCTCAGTTTCAGCAAGCTGGGTTGTGTCATCTGCATAATGCAGGTTGTTGATGATTCTTCCACCAATCCTGATGCCACATTCCTCTTCATACAGCCCAGAGTCTCGGATGATCTGTTCTGCATACAGATTGAAAAAGTATGAAAACAGAATATATCCCTGACAGACCCCCTTCTTGATTTTTAAACCATGTAGTGTGTCCTTGCTCTGTTCTGATGACTGCCTTTTGGTCCAAGTATAAATTCCACATAAGCACAAACACATGTTCTGGGATTCCCATTCTTTTCAGAGTCAGCCATAGCTTGCTGTGATTCACACAGTTAAAAGCCTTTGCATAGTCAATGAAGCACAGATAGACATTCTTCTGGTATTCTCTGCTCCCTACCTAGATCCATCTGACATTAGCTATAATATCCCTGGTACCACGACCTCTTCTAAATCCAGCCTGCACATTTGGTAGTTCTCTGTTGACATATTGCCCCAATGGTTTTTTAATGTGTAGAGATTTTTTAATTGGTATGTATATTTCACTAACAATAAAAACTAAATTGTAAAAAAATTAAAAATTATTTTATTATTTTTATTCCAGAAGTTTATCTATCTTAGGGTAAATATGTTTGAAAGTGAAGTTCAGAAGTGTTCCCACTGTGGATAAAAGAAGACAAGTGAAAATGCTATTGCCACCAGTATTAAATACTGTATTGTGAGTTTTAATCAAATGATAATATAAATGAAAGCATGGAATTGAAAAAAATAGTCTCTAAAAAAGCCCAGGAAAATCTATAAACTACTCATATTTATAAGTAATGACTCATAAGAAATTTGCTAGATATGATGTTGTTGCTAGGTGCCACAAAGTAATTGCCTAGAGACCTCTGAACAATGAATTTTGTGCCTCCTCACCATTTCTGTCAGAACAGAGCAGGGTAACACTGCATGGTTCAAAATTGGGAAGGGCATATGTCAGGGATGTGGCCTGTCTCCATACCTTTTCAACCTGTATGTAGAACAGAGTATCCGGGAGGCTGGGCTCTATGAGGAGAAGTGTGGCATCAGGATTGGTGGAAGATCTATCAACAATCTGTGTTATGCAGATGACACTACCCTGCTTGCTGAAACTGAGGAGGACATGAAGGGCTTGCTGCAGAGGGTCAAGGACTGCAGCCTTCAGTATGGGTTGAGGCTCAATGTCAAGAAGAAAAAGATTCTCACCACTGGACCAATTGGCCGCATCAGGATGGATGGTGGAGAGATTGAGATTGTTCACACCTTTAGTCTGCTTGGCTCCACAATCAACACTCTTGGCACCAGCAGCCAGGAAATTAAAAGATGTATTGCCATGGGAAAGTCTCTGCTTTTAGGGACCTCTCTCAAGTACTGAAGAGCAATGATGTGTCTCTGGAGACTAAGGTGCCTCTGGTACAGGCCATGGTCTTTGCAATCACCTGTTATGCATCAGTAGCTGCACAATGTTCAGGAAGGACAGAAGGAGAATTGATGCCTTTGAGCTGTGGTGCTGGAGAGGAGTATTGAGGGTACCATGGACTGCTAAGAAAACAAACAGATTCATCCTTGAGAGGGTTGAACAAGGCTGCTTCTTGGAGGCAAGTATTCTGAGGCTTCGTCTGACATACTTTGGTCACGTTGTAAGGAGAGACCAGTCCTTGGAGAAGGACATTATGATTGAGAGGGTGAAGGGCAGGGGCAGGAGGGGAAGGCCCTCTGGGAGGTGGATTTATTCAGTGACTGGGGTAATTGGGATGAGTGTGTCGGAGACAACAAGATTGGCACAGGACAGAGCAGAGTTTAGAGCTGTTGTACATAGGGTTGCTATGAGTTGCAAGTGACTCGACTGCACATAACAACAACAACAGCATTTCTGACATACTTCAGCCCATTGTGACAGTTACTGTGTCAGTCCTTCCTGTTGAGGTTCTACTTCTCTTTGATCCCCCTTTATCTTTCCCAGTATGATACTTTTTTCCCCAGAAATTGGCCCTTCCTAACACCATGCCCAAAGTATGTGAGACAAATCTTCACCATTCTTGCCTCCAATGAGCAATCTAGGTGCAATATATAAGTATTACAACAATGAAACATTAGAAGAGGGAATAAATAGACCAGTGGAACAGAACAGAGAGATAAGAAACAATTATTTCACACATGAAATATAAGACAACATATAATAATGGAAAAAGTATAAATTTTCAATAAAGTGATCTATGAAAGTTCACTATCAATAAGAAAAAAAGGAGCAAAAATAAAAACCTCACAATTAGAAAATTATTTGTACCACTACAAAAATAAATTATTAAAGTTTTAAAAAACACGAATGTGGGGAAAATGCAAATTTTAAGTGAAACATATAGGAAAATGCTTTCAAGAAATCAAAGAGAAAATATTTTTTAGAAATTTTTTTTATTGAGAGAATACACTATAAACAAAAAGATAAACTAAATTAGCATGATATGAATAAATCAAACAGGCAAATACTTGGCATGGTAAGATATAGTTTACTAATGAAATTCTAAAAATAAAGTTATATTTTGAGAATAAAGTATGAATGTAGCAAATTAGTATCTAGCAAATGTTCATAAAGTTACCCAGGTGATATAATGGTGAAATGTTTAGTGAATAACTGAGTCATAGTTAGTTGATGCTTTGCAAGGAAAAGATGCAGGGGTTGTATGCATCAAAGATCAGAGCCATCGACATCCTGTGGCTAGTTCTACCCTGTCCTTATAAATTCCACTGCTGGCCAAATCAGTTCCTACCCTTAAGGGCCTTCTCTAGGTTTCCAAGACTACAAATATTTGAAAGGGGGCTTCCCACCTTTCTGTTTTTGAACAAGTGGTACATTGAGATTGCCAACTTTTTGGTTAGCAACCTGATAATTATGTACTCCACCACTCAATCTCCTTCCCTGTCCTTTAAGGTTGCTGTATGTCAAAAAGGACTCTATAAGCAAGGGCTTTGGTTTTGGTTTGTATATGTAAAGAACTCACACATAATTATTTGAAAAAAAAAGATTAAAAATCCAACAAAAAATAGAGAAATGAACAAGATCCTCAGAAGAGGAAACTCATATGTTTTCATTTCCTCTCAGAAAAGAAAACCCACTCAGTTGGGGATATGTGTGTGAAATGTTTACTCTTACTGCTAATTGTGGAAATGCAAGTGTAAAACACACAAAATAGAATTTCATTCACATGAGAATGACACCCATATTGGTTATAGTAAAATCATACCTTAGGGAAAACATTTGTCAAAAACTCCTACAACTGGTTATAACTAGTTTCATGTAAGAGGGAACAAATTAATATAATAGAATTGGTAATACACAGAATTAGGGTGATCCTGATTTACCGCAAAGCTCCTTTATGGGTGTAACTCTTAGATGATCAATTCAAAATGGGCTGTTATATTTTACTAAGTAGCCAAGGCAAAGACATTTGTCATTCTCTGCATGACTCCTATCTTGAAACCAAAGAAACAAGACTGTCATTAACACTAGCTAGACAAGTTTCATCTTATTTGTTCTCTGCATCTTACCCAGCCCATAAAAATAAACCAACCAACATTGGATAAAGCACATAAACCTGTATAACACTGGTCAGTACAAAAGCTATACCAGAAGGTTGTTCTATCACCAGTACCAAAGCCGTTCTCATTATTATCATCACTATTATTCCTGCCACTGAGACACAATAAGCACATCATGTACAGGTAAGTGGAATTTTATCTGAGAAATTAATTCTGCAAAATCTAACAAATCATTAAAGTATCCTTTAGTTGTTAATGGTATTATGTTTATTTATTAATTAGTAGCTTTATTTACACCTTTATTTCTAGATATTGTCAAGAAACATGCTATTTTTACCCCCTGAGGTTTATCAAGCCCTGTAAAATATTTGAGAAAAAAAATTGCAACTTTTTAAAAAAAATGTGAATTCTGTTTTTTTCTTATGAAGAATGTAAATATGTAATTGATCTAGAATGTTAAGAAGATTGTCTTTCTGTTAATAACTAATCATAAAAATTATACCATTTTTTCACTTTCTAGGGGTCTATTGTAGCCTAGTAGGTAAGGATTTTTTACAGCCAACTCAAAAGTGGGTGACTTTAATCCATCAGCTACTCTGAAGGAGAAAAATGGGAAATCCCTTTCCATGTGATTTACAGACTCTGAAAGCCTGCTGGAGGGTCAGCTTTGAGTTGATTCCAACGTAATGACTTACACACACACACACCCAGACACACCCTAAAGTAATATTTTTTTAATATTAAAAGCTTACATAGAAATAATTTTTAGAGGTCTGAACACCATTTAAAATTGTGTATAGCTAGAGCAATGTGACTTAGAATATAGATTGTGAATTAACAGCTGACAAACTGCATGTGGCCTAGAAAACAAATTTTGAAATAATTCCTTACCGTAAATTCTTTTCTTTTCCACAAGTCCAGGTTTTGGTTTACCTGGGGTCCATAAGAAACTTGACATGGAAGTCCATTCAACCCTTCCACCATCATTTACCATTATACTGCTTTGCTCTTTATCTAGAATACTCTCTTAATTTTTAAATCTCTGTGGAAAGAAAAAGAGCCTGCTGGTAGAGAGGTTAAGTGCTTGGTTACTAAATGAGAAGTCTGTGGTTTGAAATTACCAGCCACTCTTTGGAAGAAAGATGGACAATGTGACTCTGTAAAGATTTACAGGCTTGGAAACTCGATAGGGAAGTTCTATGTCATGTAACGTCTCTATAAATCAGAATTAGCTTGACAGCAGTAGATTGTTTGTTCGGTGGAAGGAAAAAAATATACTTTTATAAAATTTTGGGACCTCTCCCGGAATTTTACTTTAATACTCTTCACCATGTTGCAGAATTTAATATGTGGTGAATCTAATTCAAATGGTCTATAAATAGAGTTCTAGTAAGTAAAATCCATGTTTTTGTTATGCTTTGTACTTTAATTACCTATAAGTGGAATGCAGTTATAAGGAATGTAACCTATGAGATGAAGCCCAGAATTGATCAAAGATGAAGCAAAGAATTACAGTAAGACTGATGTTTTCCAAACGTAGTTAATATAGTTAGCACCATTTTAGTCATATCCTAATTGTTATTTTGTCTAATTGACTTGGTTATGCATATATATCCATGAGTCTTTACTTGATATAGATTCAAAAAGTGAGGTAGAATTTAGATACATATATAGATTTGGTTAAATTAATTAAAGATTAGCCTTTTTTATGCTATCTTTCTTAAATGCAATTTAATTTGCCAGTGTGATCTTCTAGATACAGAATTATATCCTTAACTGTTTTTGGTAGCAAAAATCACACAATAAGAGAGGGAAAATTTATTTCAGAAACATAGCCAACAGTATGTATTCTTTAGAACAATCCAGAAAACAGAGGTTTTCAGAGAAAACACACTTTACAAACTCTGCGTTAGTAATAATTTGTATAAAAATAATCTCAACACTTCAGCATCACTGCTTGATTTTGTTACACTTGAGTCTTGCAGATTTATATGCATGAAAAACTCCAAGCTATTAGACTTTTTACAACTGGCTAACCCAACACACATTTGAAATTTAAAATATGAAAACTAGATGAATTATGTATCTTGCATTAAAATGGATGAGGGAGAGAACAGTTTAAAAGAAATATTATAGGGCATTATGAGTCCGGAATGAAGGTTGCAGAGTGGAGTATACTTGTGGGGATGGGAGGATGTGAGGGCTGATTGTGTATCAATGAAGGAATTTTCCTTTTGCTTTTCAAAGAAAAGAGTGAACTGGACAGGGTGGAGAGGGAGAAAAAAGTGCAACAATGGAAATCCAGAATCTCTGTAAATGTTCATTGAAATCAATTTTTAAAAAGTAAACTACTAAGTTACTTAAATAGTAATTTTAAAAGCTCATTACAGTTCTTTGAGATCAGTAGTTTTACATATGCATAAAAATATGACTATCATACTTTCTCTTCATTATTATAAAAGACACATTAACTAATAGGGTTATTATAATATTAACATTGATTTAATTTCATTTTCTCTTTAAAATGTTAGTCATCTAGGCTAAGAACATGTACCTGAATAGATTTTTTTGCTTTTAGAATGAGATTATGTAACTGAATTCTACTTTAAGAGTACACATGAAATTTGTTTAAAATAACAAGTCTCTTTGAAAAGCTTTGAGAAATAAGGTTGGTTCTGGGAAACACTAATGAGTAAGTCATCAAAAGATAAAGGTACATAAGGAAGAGATAGAATTAAGTATACAGATCAAGCTAGAGAGGAAATAATACTGAGTGGAGCTGCACATCTATGGAATAATAATGTTTTAAAACAAATAAATTTAGAATTTATTCACTTATTTATCCCTAATAGATGTGTTGGAGACAATAAGATTGGCAAGGGATAGAGTAGGGTTAAGGGCTTTTGTATATAGGATCATTATGAGTTGCAGGTAGCTCAGTGGTACATAACAACAACTACACCAACAAAAGTCAATTAGTCTCTTTTTAAATTATTATTAATTTTAATGAAAGTTTACAGAGACTTTGGATTTTCATTTTTCATTGTTGCACATTTCTCCCTGCCCACCTCTCCTCCCCCCAGTTCACTCTTCTCTTTGAAAAGTAAAAGAAAAATGCTTTAATTGTTATACAATCAATCCCTCCTCCCAAGTCCACTCCACTATGCATTCTGGACTCCTGCCATGACAATAATACCTAATCATATATTCCTTTTAAACAGGTCTCTCCCTCATCTGTTTCAATGCAGTATACATAATTTATCCCATCTTTCTCAGTCAGTTCCGTTTTACAACAGTGGCACTATGAAGTATTTTTTTCCTATTTCACTCAGCATAATGTCCTCCAGGGTCATCCATTTTGTATAATATTTCATGAATTCTTTCTTTTCAAAGTAGTGTAGTATTCCATTATGTGATGGGCGCTTACGTTGTTTTCAACTCTTCACTATTGTGAACAAAGCCGTGATAAACATGGATGTACATATACCTGCTTGGGTGGCAGTTATGGTTTCTTTGGATTATATTCCAAGTTAAAAAAATAATTTAAAAAAACCCAAAGTTCTAATCTCTCCACAACCTCGCCAGAATTTGTTGTTTGTTGCCCTGCTGAAGTTTGTTTTTGTTATTATTGCTGGTGTGAGCTGATATCTCATAGTTGTTTTGATTTGCATCTCTCTGATAGCTAGAAATTTTGAACAGTTCTTCATTTGTTTGTTATCTGAATGTCTTCTTTGGTGAAGTGTTTATTCATATCCTGTGCCTATTTTATGATTGGGTTGTTTATCTTGTTGAGGTGCTAAAGTATTCAATAAATTTTTGATATGAGCTTCTTATCAAGTAAGTCATTGCCAAATATTTTTTCCTGGTTTGTGAGTTCCCTTTTTAGCCTATTGGAGACGTTTCTTTGATGTGCATTGAGATTTTATTCAACCCAAATGCCCATCAACAAATGAACAGATAGAAAAACTACAGTACATTCCCACAATGGAATATTATACAGTACTGAAAAACAATGAACTTGTAACTCATTATACAATATGGGTGAGCCTGGAGGACATTATGCTGAGTGAAATATCTCAATCATGAAAGGACAAATATTCCACCACACTGCTGTTATAAAGTGGAACTGACCTAAGGGGTTTGGGATTGAATAGGAAAAGGGTGAATACATAATGAACATTGCATTGCAAAAGATAAGGGAAAGAACTGTTTAAAATGAATATATTATTAGGCATTATATGTATGACAACAATCTGGAGCAAGAAGTACATAGCAAAGTGGACTGGGAGAGGGGAGGAAAATGTGCAACAATAAATGATTAACAATAAAAAGGCTGAAAACTAAAAATTCCTCTGACATCAGCATAGAACATCCTTGATCTTTGTTAATCGTGTCAAAGGAACACTACATATGTCAAAGGCATAAAAGTCTCTCCAAATTTAGTAAATCTTACTTTGTTCGGTAAAACAACTAGTTGTTGTTGTTGTTGATTGCCTTCGAGTCCAGCATGACTCATAGCAACTCTATGAACAAAAGGCCTGAAGCCCCTCTAAAATTATCGACATTTATCAAAGTTCATAGAGTTTCTGGAGACATATTATTTAGGAAGTGGATGCCACTCCTGCTAAATTTAATAACCCAGTCAAATTCAAATTATGCACATCTTGAATTTTTCTATCCCTTGTGGACAGATATAAATCGTTGTGGAAGATGCATCCTCCACAAACAGCAGCAAAAGTGAGATTTTCTCTTGTGAGCCTTACGATATAATAATTACTTACTTGTCGATTAACAAGAAAAATACTTCCCGTCAATTTGGAATTGCACCAAGAAAATAATTGGTGAAAATTCCAAGATGCACTTCAGGCTCTGACCCTCAAAATAAGATCTGAATGATTAAAATATATGGTTAAAGGAGGGGAAAAAAGTCAATTGGTCTTGGAAGAGAAGAGAACAAAAAGATACTCATATCTAATAAGCCATTATTCATTAACTATAAACAGCTCTGTTTTGCAAGTTTTCTTTAAGTGTGATGTTTTTGTTGTTGATTGCTGTCTAACTGAGCATGGAGTCAACACCTTATGGGAACCGTATGAATAAAAGGCCTGAAGCTGTCATTTCTCCAAGTTCATAGAGTTTCCAGAGGCATATGGTTTAGGCAGTTGATGCCATTCCTGCTTTCATATGTGAATCAATCTGGGAGCTCCACCAAACACTGCCCACAATGGGTAGCCATTATGATGTTTGGCACATCTATGGCACAGTTATTACATTATGGCATTTAAGATCCCAATGGCACAAGGTTCGTCCAAAATAAAGTAACAAATTAAATGAAAAAAAAAATTGAGTCCTAAGAAAATCTTTACATTGGAAGTAAAAAAAAACAAAAACACACAACGAACTTTTGTGACAATTCATCTTTTGAAAGGAAATCTTATGATATCATATCTTCAAGATATGGAAAGAAATGTATTCAACTTTGTGTAAATTTGACTAAGGGAAGTTCATTTGGACAACTCCATACCACTAAGTCACCAGAGTTTATAGCTTGCAAAAATATAACCACACAAATACAAGATTTGTAACTTGCTCTGGATTTAAATAAGAAAGAAAAGAAAGGATATGAATTTCTTCTCAGTAATGTGAGAACAGGAACCATTTCTATCTTTCTAACATCTCCAACAACTAAAACAGTAGTAGTAGGTGTTCATCATGTAGTAGGTGTTCAAATATGGCTAGTTAAATTAATGACTCTTAGAATCTACCCACTCTAAGGCACTTAAGGCCTCTATAGTTTAAGAAATTGAGATAGCTAACAGTTTTCGTTTGCTTGGCTCCACAGTCAGCACTCTTGGTACTTGCAGCCAGGAAATCAAGAGACGAATTGCATTGGGAAAGTCAGCTGTCAGGGATCTCTCAAGAGTACTGAAGAACAACAATGTCAGGCTGGAGACTAAGGTGCACCTGATCGAAGCTATAGTCTTTGCAATTACATGCTACACATCGGAGTGTTGGACAGTGACTAGGGATGATAGAAAGAGAATTGATATCTTTGAGCTGTGCTGTTGGAGAAGAATGTTGAATATTCCACGGACTGCTAGGAGAACACACAGGTTTGTCCTGGAGAGGATGAAATGCTACTTGGAGTCAAGGATTCTGAAGCTTCGTTTGACATGCTTTGGACATGTTGCAAGGAGGGAATAGTCCTTGTATAGGGACATCATGTTTGGGAGAGCAGAGGGATGGCTCTGGAGAGGAAGACCCTCAAAGAGATGGATCAATTCTGTGATTGAGATGGTGGGAGTGAGTGTGTTGGAGACAGTGAGGTTGGCAAAGGATAGAGCAGGGTTTAGGGCTTTTGTACACAGGGTCACTATGAGTCGCAAGAGACTTGATGGCACATAACAACAACAACTACAACACTTTAACGTGTGCATGGCAAGACTTCATCTCACATACTTTGAACATGAAATCAGGAGGAAATAGTTTTTGTTGGAAGGCATATGCTTGATAAAGTAGACTCATCATTGTCAAGTTGAAACTGACTCATTACTGGACCTTCAGCAAGTTTCAGAGGCTATAAATATAGCTACAAGGAGATTGTCCATCTTTCTCTCTCAGAGCTGCTCATGGATTTGAACTGCCAGAGATGTGGAGGCTCTGGGTTAACAGCAAAACTCTCTGCAAAGTACGTCACTAGAACTCACTGGTAAAGTAAAGGATTGATGAAAAAGAGACTAGAATTGATGCAATGACTGCAACAATGGTATCAGCAGAGATTGTAAGAATGGAACAGGATTGAATTTTGCTTATTTCTATTATAATGGGGTTATTATGTGTCAAAGCCAGCTCAGTTATCCTTAACAAAATAAAAATCTTTTAAATAATATAGGGAATAAGTATACATATTAATAAGTCATGTTGAATGGGTTGAAGAAGGCTCATGTAAATGTTAACAATATCATCTAATTTGAACCTTTCCCTCCCTTCTTAGACCTGGAGTATCTTCTAGGAGATCTTTTCCAGTATGGATGGTGGTCCTCATTACACTTGGAGTAATGGCAATTTTAGGATTAACGATCGGTCTTCTTGTCCATTTTTTGGCAATTGGTCAGTATTAACTATATTTTCATTTTACAGTTATTTTTTTACAGTTCATTTTTCTGTTCAGCTTCAGTATCATTTTACAGTTCATTTTCTGTTCAGCTTTATCTAGTCACTATTATATTTAAGTAAAATAATTTTACACTTGCTTGACAAGGAGTTTACAGGCAGTGTAGATCATATGACAGGGTGAAACAGTTTAGATCCCTTAAAGAATGAAAGATGATCCTCAAAGTGTTTTCTCTATCTGCACTACTTAGATAAATTTAACTATCCATTTGTCTAGGAGAGTTTGGTTTATAGGTGTCAATTAGATTTCATCTTTATTAAATACTTAGAAGAACTGCTAGTGACTTTTTGCTTTATTATTGTAAGAAGAATATTGAATCTAAACCTGGGTGTCACAGAATAGTGGCATGAAGGAAAAGAGTGGATAGCTATATAACTGCTGAGTAGTCATTGATAAAACAAGAGATATTAAATTCCTTCCAATTCCCAACCTCTTATTGTTACTCTATCTGGTTATTACTAACGTTGAGTTGAATTAAAATTTTTTGTAGAGATATGAATGGAATTGAGACTACATTCTGTATCAAAATTTTTTGAATATTTCTTTGTTTCACAGAAAGATATTATTATTACCAAGGTAGTTTTCATATTTCTGGAGTTACTTACAATGAAACCTGTGAAAATGCAGCTTCACAAGCTAGTACACCTTTGAGTAAAGATATTGAGACTCAGGTAAGCTAGAGCTTTACTTAACTAATTTCAACATGAATTTGAGTTTGACATAGTGACTAATTTTTTTTAATCTCTTGGCAGATGTTCAATGCATTTCAAAATTCTAGTGTATACAAAGAATATATCAGCTCTCATATCATCAAATTGCTGTAAGTTTAAATTCCTACAGGACCTTATGTTGAAAAAGAAGCAGGTGATAATACCTCACTAGTTTTGGTTTTAAAAACCAATAGAAACAAAAACCAGAAAACACAGGTGTTAAAGAAGGCAAGAAGTATGAGAAAAGGGGGAAAGAAGTTGGGAGGAAGGGAGAAAGGGAGAAAATGAGAATAGGAGGCAAGCAGGAAAGAAAGGAAGAGAGGAAGGGAGGGAAGGTGAAAGGGAAGAGGTGTGGAAAGGAGGAAGGAAGAGATGGAAGAAGACAGAAGTTCTATAAATTAATAGATCATTTTATTAATTGCTATATAGAAACCTATAATTTTCTCCACAACTGCAGATGAATTATAACAGTAATAATTAGTCAGTTCTAATTAACCTCTTTGAGAAAAAGAATTATAAGTGTATGGAAAACAAGATGTCCAATTTGATTATTTTGGTATCCATATATCAGGCACCTCTTCTCTCTTACATGTTCATGTGCATATTTTTGTTAATGTGTAAATTCCAGTCAGAACCAACCCATAGCTGACTATATATATGTGTGTGCATATATATAGACATATACATATATGTAGATGTACATACATGTTTATATACATATGTGCATATACATATACACACATATATGTATAGATAGCTGAACTATTTCTTTATAGTTGTTGTTGTTTACTGTAGAGTTGGAACCAACCCACAGCTCACCTTCCGGTGGGTTTTCAGAGGCAGTTAATTGCATGAGAGGAGATTGCCCATAATATATAAATTATAATATATATAAATCAATGTGTTGATATATATATTTTGCCTTAAAAGAAAGTTATTATTAATAAAATAATATATTAGACATTTAGATAGTAAATATTATCTTATTTATTTAAAATTAACATTCTGAGCTTTCTCATTTCCTAAGTTTATTAGGGATAGACTAAACATCTGATCATAAATAGAAGGTACTTAGTTGTGACTTCTAAATAGATGCTGAACAATACATACTGTATTATAATTATAATTGATGTTAATTCTTTTCTACTAATTTCTTATATATGTTTGAAAGATTTCTATTTTTTTACACATGACCTTCCATATAAAAATACCTCTGAAAAATTAGAAATTTTTTAGAAATCCTCGTATTCTGGTAGTGTAATGGGTTGCATATGCTGTGACCTGAAAGGTTAGTAATTTGAATACACCAAGACAAAAAGATAAATTTATCTGTTCTCTTAAAATTTACAGCCTCAGAAACCCAGTGAAGGGCCATAATTAGGCAGAACAGACTCCAGATGGGTTTGATTTGTAAACATTTTGGATAATACCTAATGCATATTTTTTAAAATATAGGTAGGAACTAAGCTGAGACACTCAATAGACAAACAAAAAATTAAAAGAATGAGAAAAAAAAGCACACCAGGACATGTCTGTTTTTTTCTAGTCCTTATGCCAATGGTTCAAATATCCAAACACAGCTGATATTTAGATTTCCTCCAGCAAAGAGAGAGAGCATGAGGACCAAAATAGAAGCTATCTTACATCAGCTGTTGAAAGAAAACATGGCATCCTGGAATGTAGTTCTTGGATCCATTAAACTTACAGGTATTCCGCTTATTTTCTATTCTATTTCTGTACTATATTTTCACTAGTGGTTTTTTTTTACTTGCACTTGGGGAACTATGAAAAAAAAACATTAAGGATTTCAGAAAATTGTTTAGTATGTATTTCAAACTCTGGCACTTCTAACGGTGACTGGGGATTGAAAAGTTAATGCAACAGAATCTTTGTAAGAAGAATGATGGGGGTGAAGGTTAAACCAGAAGCAAACAGGTGAATTTGTGGATTGACGGTAACATACAAGGGTCCTAGTTGAATCCTCTTTCCTCTCTTCCTCCTGCTTTTGTTTGGAAATAATGACAGGAAACAGATGCAGGGTTTTCTTGGTTATTGAGTAAGGAGACTGCATGGGTAATAGTGAAGATGCAGATGGGAAGAGTTTGTATATTCTTGTGAAACGATAGCAAAAATATTTCTATTAAGAAAATAAATCTAGATTAATTATTTAAGAGCAAGGAAAGAAAAATGAGAGGATTTCACTCTAAACAGAAAGTGAAGTTTGTGCAAATCTTATAGGTCCTTATAAAGGTCTTAAAACTTTACTTGAATTATTAATAAGGTTAGTAGGTGATCAGCATATTATCCCTAGCTCAGTTTTTTTGCACTTTTTCCAGATCATTAGTTGATCTAAGTGCTACTGGAGAATGACTAACAGATGCAAGTTAAACTCCTTTGCCTCAGAAGATAGACTTTGTCACCTATTGCCCACAGACAAGAACAGAGATTTTTCCATTTTGATCAAGGACTCAACAGATAGATATTGGTCAAAGGAAGAAAACTGTTGATGATAATGTCAAAATCTTATGGAATTCAGACTTATTGAACCCACTGAAGCTAGAGAATCCTCTGAATCTATTTCTCTGAGGTAATCTTTAAACTTAATTGAATGATACCTTGAAATCACTATTAAACCACATCATCTCACTTAATTAACAGCAACAACAATAAAACAGTTACTTTGAGCATTGAGATCTTTTAACAAATTCTATGTGAAATAAAATTTATAACATAAAATTGTAAATATAGT